TACACCGCTGTGGAGCAGTTCTATCAACAAATCCATCACACTATAGCCCTTCTTGCTCCACAAATATTCATGCCCCTCATATCTCTAAAGATTCCGTCGAGCACTTAATCAGCAAGAAGACCAAAAAGTTAGTTGCAAGATACAGAAGGACCCATGAATTTTCACTTGTCTTACAAATGCATGAATTTACCACCAGTGTCAAACACACGTCATTAACACGACGAAAAAGATGAAGAACGTACAGCCCTACGGACATGCTGCAAAGCTAGGGAGCTTTTCAAAATATTGCATCATATAACCAGTGACCGTCGTCCTCTGACCTTCACGACCTCCCCTTTTAATTATTCTGCGGAACATACGTAGGGGAAGTGTTTCCTAATCCATTCGCTCACCCGGGTTACTCAGTGTTACTGTGTTGGTTAAATGTTCCTCACTGGTGAACACAATTTTCAGCATGACCAATTTGCTCCCCGTTTGAATTGACGTGCTTATGAAGTGGTAGGCCAGTTACAAGCTCTTGTAGTTTATTCTTAGATCGCACTCTAAGACAATCCGGAAGCTGTACAGCCTGAAGATTGAGGTCTCCAACATGGAGAACTTAAGTGTTAGGTTGAGTCAGAACGGCTTTTATAGCAGAAGCAAGACAGTTTTCCATTGTAGGACGGTATATGAAGGCCGTTAAACATGTGTCTCCACGTTTATGCTGCAGGTGACATCAAAGTAAGTCCACGACGCGAATCTATGGTCCATCAACGATTTTAAAACTAGATCACTGTGATGGTAAAAATGCACACCAGTTCTCATATTGGGTCAATCTGTACGCACTACTGACATACCTGGTACAGAGATCTCTTTATCAGTGGTTTTTTCATCCAGCCAAGTCTCAGTTACCATTATCAGGTCCACAGACACCAAGACTTGATGCGATTGAATCTCAGATGATTCCTTGAAGAAACCGTGAGCATTGGTGTACACAGAAGTGTGCTTCGAATGTCAGGGTCATATCTGAAGGTGTGAGCTCTTGCCGGTCTTGTAAAGTCAGAAACTAATTGTGTGTTATGGTGCATTGCTGACACTGAACGTTACGCAACTTCCTATTGACTAATAGAACCTTCATTGGACGAAATTCCGTTTTCAGTAAGTGGTGGGAAAACCCTACTCTTTCATCAGGTACTTGTGCCACACAGCTGTCCTCTCCGGGAGTCAGATTTACTATGGTAACTGTAAATCCGATTGACTTTGATCTCCCTCGGTAGATGAGGGTCTGGTTTTAAGTACCACCATGCGTAGTTGCAAGGTGGAGGTTTTATCTTACTTGCTCCGCGATTCAAGTGCGTTCTACGCCATGTGTTTGGACTGGGGAACAGTTTACATAACCTTAGGGACACACCATTTATAGCTTGATGATGAGGATAGCCGTGAAATCGGTTTGGCGATCACATTACCGGAATACTAACAAGACCAGTAAATATTCTGTTTATGTGAAAGCAGCACCATATTGCAAAATTTTAATATTGTAAGCCCCGTTATACTAATTTACCACGGGGATTTCCACATATACTAAATGGTTTTGGAAGTGTGTAACCAATATGCACCCAGTTTTTTGTCTTTCTATACGTTTGACCATCATCATTTATGTCACAAAAATGGGCACAGCGTAGCATATCTAATTCATTGGTTTGAGATACCGCTGGTAACTTGCATCGCAGAGATCCAGTACACATCCGGTGGGAGTAAGTGAAAAGTTGTCTCAGCAGCACTGAGCTACTGGTTGATCAAACAGAATAGCAAAAGCGACTGTCAGGAAATACATTAAGGTATTCGACTTGGTCCGTAAATCTTGTGGTCATCTGTGCTGTAGTGAATTCAAAATGATTCATCGCCGAAACTGAAATAGATCGATTAACAGATGCAATGTTGACACCAGCAAGTTATTATAGATGATGGAGCGGGCCATAATAGAGCTGTTTTCACTACTGCAAAAAGCCAATAATACTATGATGACAACCTAAGCATGCTGCGTTCAATGATGTTCTTCCAGCTCAACTGCGTAGACCAACAAGTTTGAAATAAGGGCAGCAGCAACCGGGACCGTTACATACTCATGCCGAAGTGGATCCTTGTAGCACGGTCTGAGTACTACGAACCAGTGTAAATGTAGGATGCGCTCACCGATTCAACGCCGCTCCAATGTTCAACCATTTGATTTTATTTTCCGTAGTTCCGTGGAACGTTAGGATTGTGCCCGTGATACAACTGTTAAGTTTTGCCTAAGGATGTCATATATGTGCTGGGGCTTACTATTCGGTATAAGTACTATATGACAGTTCCATATAACAGCAAATAGGTTTCTTTTATCATTACATATGTGACTCAAAAAAAACTGCTGTTGCACGGAACGGAAATAATTACATACTCAAATGATAAAGCCATTCTGGTGGCGTCGTTTATGGGAAAGTAGCTAGACACCGAAGCGGTCGAGGATTGCGTAACAAACAGATAGAGTTTGGCAAAACACATACCTCACACTACTGAGGAGTTGTTTGATAGTTTAGGCTTAGCGATTCCTGAATGACACCGCGAGATATTTTGTATCATCGTAACTGTAGGTAAGCGATAAAACACATAACAGGGGCTGGAAAAGTTGTGAAAAATAAGAACTCTAGGCTGTTAGAGGTATTGAAGGAGCAAGCGATCTAGTGAACGAACCCTGGTATTCCGCTTTTTATGGCCTTGATTTACATGCTTCAAATTCGATTATTTACATCGAGACTGGTAGGGACCACAACTGAACTGAATCTTTGTAGAGATCAGCTATAAGTCGTACAAAAATGAAAAAAATCCTAAGCGGCTGAATCGACGCTTATGAGACAGAAGATCAGATCACGAAGCGCATGGCAAATACTCGAGACGTTTTTGCCACTGTACGCAACCTGTAGCGCAGACGCGATATTACTCTTACCCTGAGGGTTAGATTCTAAAGTGTAGCCGCCCGTTTAATCTTGCTAAACAGCTGTGTAACTTAGTCGATCACTTTGACAGACGTAAAGCGGTTAATTACGTTCAAATACCTGTGCTTTCTCAGTTCGGCCCACATCCGACTGGAACACCTTGTGAGGAATGAGTGTTTGGTACTTTGTTTGTGGCGCTGGAAGATTAAGTGCACCGCTAAATACCATTATTTCACTCACCAGACTCCAATGGCTAAGGCGAATTACGCATACCAGCGCAATGATCGCCGAGACATATGTTCCTCGCGAGACCGGGATGTGGATGAGGGAAGTGAAGGGGAGGACAGTTGATGACTTGGTCACGAGGAATGAAGACCCTCATTTCGAATTTGGTGTCGGTTGGTGTCTCTCGATGGCCGGACTGGGGTCCGCAAGACCATGTACGCGTTTGGCTTGATGCAGTTGCTTACATTGAAAAGAGGCGGTCTCCTTGATGTTTGTGTTGGGAGTTAATTTATCCGCCCCCTCGCGTTCAGCCTCGCACGAATCGCGATCCCAGTCCCGGTGCATACCATCACTTTTTGATCTTGTTCTACTTCGCTTGTGTTGTTTTTCTTTGAGCGTTCATTTTCTATTACTATTAGCTTCGTTTGTGTTGTAATACAATAGCTTAGGTGTTTCCTAATTCTAGATAACGTGGATATTAATATTGATACTTATGATGACGATGCCATCCATCGACCGATTAAGGCTGCAAACGAGGTTTGGTGATGGCCAGAAGACTAGAAGGAATAAGTAACGGTTGGTTAATGATTAACTGGTCATCGACCATCAATTATCTGTACAGTGGTGAGGGAGTAACGCTCTAGTTTTTCATCAAAACGGCTTGCTAAGTCGACTTACACGGTTTCTCAGCTTGCTCAGCGCATGTACTCTAGTTTCTGCCAAAAGCACTCATTCGAAGAAAATTCAGTCGCTGATCTCATAACCTGGATGTAGCATAACCTCTATCTTTTGTAGTTAATAGACTCTGATCGCAGCGCGACATTTTTTCCCGCTTTTGAATGGCCGCTGAACCGGGTGATTGTGCTCTAAAAACTGTGATTACGAACAACAAGGTCATTTTAGTGTTTCATCAGTTAACAGTTTGTAATGAATTCGGATGTAGGCGAACTTCTTAACTTTTCTTTTACCACATGTCTTGTGGTGTTATACTACGCAGATAGACGATAATACGTATGTTAATAGGGTAGGTACCAACCCATGACGGAAAGTGTTTCCCATCATACATTTCAGCAAGTGCAGGCTATGTAACCGTCTAGGCTTTGCTCATGCTAACAGCGTTTATTGCTAACGATCAGGCAACTACCCAAACTAGTTTC